GAATAAATGGGTCTTTTTCCAAATGGCATGCACTAACTAGTAGGGTACAGTCAGGAACAGTGCTAGGACACCAGCTACTCACAGTATATATTACTGATTTGGATGAAGGAACTAAATCTACTATCTCCAAATTTGCAGATGACACAAAGCTGGTTGAGAGGGTGAATTATGAGAAGGATGCAGAGATGCTTCCATGTGATTTGGACAAGCTTAGGTGAGTGAGAAACTGCATGGCAGATGCAGTATAATGTGAATAATTGTGAGTTATCCACTTTGAGAGCAAAAACATTATTATCTGAACGGCTATAAATTGAGAAAAAGGAATGTACAATGAGGCCTAAGTGTCCCTGTAAATCAGTCACTGATGGTAAGCATGAAGGTGCAGCAGGCAGTCAAGGGGGCAAATGGAATGTTGGCCTACATAGCCAGAGAATTTGGGTACAGGAGCAGGGATGTCTTGCAATTATACAGAGCCTTGATGAGACCACACCTGGAACACTGCATGCAGCTACGGTCTCTTCATCTGAGAAAGGATGCTCTTGCTACAGAGGGACTGCAACAAAGATTTACCAGATTGAATCCGAGGATGGCAGGACTGATGTACGAGAGGTTGAATTGGTTAGGATTATATTTGCTGACGTTCAGAAGAATGACGAAAGTGATTTAATATAAACCTATAAAACTCTAACAGGACGAGACATGTGGATGCAGGAAGAATGTACATGATAACGGGGGATGTCCAGAACCAGGGGTCATAGGATACAGGGTAAATTGTTTAGGACTAAGATGAGGAAACTTTTCTTCACCCAGAAAGTGGCGAGCCTGTGGAATTCACTGCCACAGTAAGCAGTTGAGGCCAAACATTGTATGATTTCAAGAATTTGAAAATAGCACTGGGCTTAAAAGATCAAAGGATATGGGGCAAAAGTAGGAAGAGGCTATTGAGATGGATAAAAACTGAAAAAACTGCGGATGCTGTAAATCAGAAACAAAAGCAGAAGTTGCTGGAAATGCTCAGCAAATCTGGCAGCATGTGTGGAGAGAAGTCAGGATTAACGTTTTGGGTCCGGTGACCTTTCCTCAAGACGTCCCTAGTTCCGAGGAAGGGTCACCAAACCCAAAACGTTAACTCTGACTTCTCTCCACAGATGCTGCCAGACCTGCTGAGCTTTTCCAGCAACTTTTTCTCTTGCTATTCAGATGGATTATTAGCTATGATTATAATAAATGGAACAGCAGGCTCAAAGGACCATACGTCCCACTCCTGCTCCTACTTTCTACATTTCCATGTTTCCAATGCAATTTAGTAAGTGACTCAAAGGGTAACTTGCAGGTGTATCTGCTGCACTTGTCTTTCAAGGTGGTAGTGGTTATGTGTTTGGAATATGCTTTCTCAAGAGCTTTGGTGAATATCTGTCGTGTTTCTTATAGATGGCACATACTTTTGTAACTATGCGTGAGTGGTGGAGGGAGAGAGTGTTCGAGGACATGAAGCCAATCAAGCAGGATGCTCAGTCCTGGGTGGTGCCATGTTTCTAGTGTTGTTGGAGCTGTATGCATCCGGCAAATGGGGAGTATTCCAACATACACCTGACTTGTGTTTTGTGGATGGTGGACAGGCTTTTGGGAGTCAGGAGGTGAGTCACCTGCTGCAAGATTCCTGGCCTCTGACCTCCTCTTGTAGCCACAGTATTTATATGGCTAGTCCAGTTCAACGTCTGGTCAACAGTACCCTAAGATGTTAATAGTAGGTTCTCAGTGATGGTAATGCCATTGAATGTCAAGGGATGATTGTTGTGTTCTCTCTTGTTGGGAATGGCCATTGCTGGCACTTCTGTGGCATGACTGAATTTTGTCAACCCAAACCTGGATATTGTTTAGGTTTTATTGCATTTGAACATGGACTGCTTCAGTATCTGAGGGGTTGCAATTATGCTGAACATTGTGCAATCACTGGTGAACGTCCTCACATCTGACCTTATGATCGAAAGTCATTGATGAAGCAACTGAAGATAGCTGGGCCTAGGACACTAACCTGAGGGACTCCTGCAGAGATTTCCTGCAGCTGAGGTAACTGACCTCCAACAATCATAGCCATCTGCCTTTGTGCTAGGTATAACTCTAATCAGCGCACAGGTTTCCTCCTGATACCCGTTGACTTGAATTGATGCCACACATGGTCAAATGCAGGCTTGATGTCAAAGGCAGTTACTTCCACCCCTCTTCTTCATTTCAGCTCTTTCATCCATGTTTGGACCAAACCATGAGGTCAGGAGCTGAGTAGCCCTGGCAGAACACACCTGAACATTTGTGAGCAGGTTTTGGCTGAGCAAGTGCTGCTGGATAATGCTGTTCATTACCTCGTCACTCATTTTACTGATGGAGTGACAGTACATAGATGGACAGTAATCAGCCAATTACCACTACTTGGCCTTGGCATTAGGATGCTGACAGGAAGCCCCCAGCAAACCCCAGCTCCTATTCCCCAATTCCACTTCTATTATGTCATAGCAAGCTTACTGTTGCTTGGCATAAAATGACAGCTGTAATGTGGAGGTTTCAAAACCCTTAGAAGTGTGTGAATTGGCTAATTGTGAAGATCAGACTCTTACAACAGTGCCTTGCTACATGGAGTATCATTGAGCCCATATATCACAACGTGGCAATTAGTGGGCACATGATTACATGTCTGAATTGTAATATTTGAAGAATGTTCACTTTCAGTTAACTGTGAATTGAAGGGAGATAGCACTGTTCAATCATTTGAATAATAATGAGTGCAATGTTCCCCAAGAAGGGTTCACATACCGGCGATACATTTCAAAAACCAACTCTTCCCACTTTGCAAGATGTTTGTCCAAGTTTCTGACCTTATAATGCACTTGATTCTTTTATCAATGTGGTGAGATTCCAAGTTTGTGTTTGAGAGAATGACTTGCAGGCTCTGACTCTTGACCCATTTCCATTGCCATCCCTGTGGCATCAATGATGTTTTATCCTCCCTCCTCACCATTTTAGATGAGCCACTTTACGTTAAAATTCATGCAGTCTTTTATCCTCTGAGCCAAATACCATCAAGGTTCCCAAACCCACACTGAGGCCCGAGTAACCATCACTTGCCCTGATGCTGTTTCCTCCAAAAATAGATCCCAGCCTACTATCTGAAATTGGCCCCATAACTGTTACAACTCGTTCAGAAACCCAAGTTAATCCCCAGATTTGAGCTGACCACAACCTTGGCAAACCCAAGGATTGATCTCTTGAAAAGCTCCTGGATTATTGCACCTTCCCCATCCACCCCAAATCAGTGCTCCATCCCTGGGCTGACTTGGCAGGACAGCCCTGACTGACCACAGTCTGTCTCTCAGACGCATATTGCAACAGCACCCAATGGACCAACAAATAAGGCTGTTGGGTATAGCATTAAAAAACTGCTTCTACCAGATCTCCAGGGATTGACCATGGCCCAGTCCCTAACTGCAACAGCAGGAATCCCCAGACTTGTATTGAACAAACCGCCTAACTGGTTGTGGCCAACCTCCCTGACAAACTTGACGTTCACCTCACTCCACAAAGCACTCCTCCCTTTTGACCTTCACACACTTCTATTTTCTTGAATCCCATGCAGTGTGTTTGCCATGTAGGCTGCTGGCACTGATGCAATACTACGTTGTATAGCAACAAAACTAAACTCTTTAGGAGATAGTAGGAACTACCGATGCAGGAGTCTGAAATACCAAGGTGTGGAG